GGATTGCCGGGGCAGAGGCTGGCCCACGTGATGGCTCTTGGCAGGGATGCCCACAATGCCTTCCCGAAGAGTCGGGCCTCGGGTCATTTCATGCATGCCTCCTTCCTCTGAACTCGCGTGCCAGGACTAGGATTCAGGTCAGGCATGGAGCGTATGGTTCCTTGGAGGAGACGTGAGAAAGGCTGTCTTCAAAATCAGGTAGCGAAGTCACCCAGCATGGCGACACCAGAAGCAAAATGCTGAGTGCCTGGAGGAAGGCTCCGTGGGGCTGGTGACATTCAGGTGGGGATGCTCTGAAGGCGTGGAGGTGGACAGAGGCAGGTCACAGAGGGCCTCGAGGTGCCCAGCCAATAGGGATGAGCTGCCAAGGACGTGCTCACCCACGTGCAGAAAACTGGGGCAGCTCCTCCCCATTTGGGTCCTTCGTTTCCCATCTCTGTGTGCCGCTGGCCCTGCCAGACCCTCCTACATCCAGAGGCCAGCCTAGCCTTGGGTGCAACCTCTTGAAAGTTCAGAACTGGGGAAGATTCCCGAAGTGACCTTGGGCAGGTGCCTGGCTATCCCAGGGTTCGCTGCCGTGGTGTGAAGAGTTCGAATCAGCCAGTCTGAGAGCTCTGCCAGGCTCGTCCACACAATGCACACAGAACTGCAGCCCAGGAGACCAAGCACTGGCTTCAGTGGGAAACACTGGCATAGCCCAAGCAGAGACCGCTCCTCCCCAGCCCGCGTGGCTTTCTGGGACTCCCTGTCCCGCTGCCTCTTCTCAGCTGTTGTGGCTAAATCTGTCTGATCTGGTTCTGTCTGCAGAGATGGGCACAGGCCAGCTTCAACCCGACACCCAGCCCAGGCCTGCTGTCCCCCAGGCAGCAGAAGCCGAGCGACAGGCCTCATTCATCTTCCCGCGAGCCCAGAGACAAAGGGCCTAATGTGTGTGCAGATGGGCCTGCCCCTCCATCATCCTTCACAACCAGTGGCCGATAATGCGTCTCCAACGAGTCCCCGGTGGCCGCCCGCTGACCAGGGGGTGACCAGGCAATGATGCATGCAAAAGCAGGAGCCCGGAGGCCAAAGCAAGCCTGGGGGGGGGGGTGGGGAACATGGGGGTGAGGCATGATCACAGCCCCACGGAGAAGCCCATAACTCATTCTGACGTGGAGACATTATGCCTCTCAAAGACCACTTGCCCCTGGACACGGAGCTGCCAAATTAATTGACAAGGGACCCTTGGAGGCAGCTTCTACAGAGTAGGAACCCCCCAGCCCCAGAGGCCTGGCCCAAGGGGCCATTATTTTCTCAGAGGACAGAATTGTGCCTTCCCAGGGCTGACTGCGACCCTGGCTGTCGCAGAAGGTCCCATGCATGTCTGATCAAGGGATCTGGGTCGCAGAGAAAGCCGCAGTGTGTCCAAGGTGGAACCCCAGCCTCTCTCCCTCCTCATGAGGCCAAGCCCCTGTGAGCAGCACAGGCTTCTTGCAGTCAGTGCCCGGAAGTGGGAGCTACAGGAACAACAGCAGTTGTCCAGCCAGGCTTCCCTGCCTCCCCGTCTCTCTGCCTCTGGAGCTGGCAGGAAAGGGGAGGGGCAGACTTACGTACCTACTTCTGGGACATTCCAATATTGCAGAAGTGCGTTATGGTTCAAGTGCCACCTTTTTTTTTTTTTTGAAAGAGATTTTTGCCTTAGGACGCATGCATTTGGGGTGGGGGTGCAGACAGAGATAGTGAGAGGGAAGTGAGAAATCACCACCCCTTGGGGGAATGACCGTACTACAACCATTCTCCTCCTAAGATCTTGGGCATGCACGTACACGCGCCTGGAGTGATTTTCAAGCCACCAGGTCCAGGACTTGAACCACCGTCGTCCAAGTGGGAGTCCACAGATATGACTTCTATGCCGTCTGCTGGCCCCCAGCGCTGCCCTTCTTGTCCCACATTTCTGGACTCTCAACTCAGTTCTGTTGACCTGTTTATTTACTCCTGGGCCAATTCCCATGGTTTTTAAATACTCACACTTTAAGATAATTGTTTATGCTTGTTTGGACACGTTCTTCCTTTTTATTCCTCCTTTTTTTAAAACAAAGAATGCTTTAACTTTATTTTTTATTGTTATTATTTTAATTTGACCAGAGGCAGACAGAGAGAAAGGGAAAGTGAGAAATCAAGCCACCAGGTCTAGGATTTGAACCACGGTCAGTCACGTGGGAGTCCAGTGCTTTTAACGACCACGCCACCTGCTGGTCCCTGTTCCTCCTTTTAAAAGTTATTATATTATTATTATTCAGGTTTTTGCCATAGGGTACATGTGCTCACTGGAGAGAGAGAGAGAGAGACAGAGAGAAAGAAAGTGAGAAATCAGCCCCCAGGGAATGGCCATGCCATAATCCCTTCTCCTCCATTCTCCTCTTGGGATTTTGGGCTCACACCCACATGCATTGGCATGATTTTCAAGTCACTGGGTCCTGGACTTGAACCACGGTCAACCACATGGAAGTCTGGCATCTTAACCACTATGTCACCTGCTGGCCTTTTCTTCTGCTTTTAATTTTTTTTTTTTTTTTTTTTTTTTTTTTTTTGCTATAGCGCACAAGTGCTCGCTGGAGACAAGGATAGAAAGAGACAGGGGAAGTACCCAGATAACCACCAGAGGGGATGAGCATGCGGAAGTCCCTTCACCTCCATTCTCCCCTTAGAGTTTTGGGGCACACAACCTCCTTGGGCCGGGTGCATTTTTCACGTTGCCAGGTCTGGGACTCAAACCATGTAGCCAGTTATGTGGGATCCAGCACGAACCTTCACACCATCTGCTGCCCCCATTTTTCCTTTTATAATCACCCTGGTTATCTTTGTGTATTTACTGATCCTAATAGATTTTAGGACCCAAACTACAAAATACGAAAACTCTTGCCACTGAGCCAGCCTGGGCCTGCTATCATCCCTCGGTGGGGACGCTGAAGGCACCGGGGCCCCCCCCCTTTTTAACGAAATTCTTATTTCATTTATTATTATTATTTAATTTGACCAGAGAAAGACCGAGAGAAAAGGAAAGTGAGAAAGCAAGCCTCCAGGACCGGGACTCCAGCTGTGGTCAACCATGTGGGAGTCCAGCTCTTTAATCACCATGCCACCTGCTGGACCTGATGAAGGCCCTTTTTAAATGCAGAGGCAGAGCAGAACCCGAGGGTGGAAGACGACCGGATGGAGGGAGGACCAGCAGCCGAGGGTGGAAGACCACCGGATGGAGGGAGGACCAGCAGCTGGGATCCCAGAGTGGGTCCCTACTGAGAGCCCACACACCCTATCAGAAGGGTCCAGGCTGTGGACAGGATGGGCACCAGGCCTTAGTCCAACCTGCTTACATGAGGCAATCTGGCTGAGATGCCCAATTTCATGCCTGGCCGTGGTAAACACTCAGAAGGGATTATAGCGACCACGGTGACCACAATGGTCCCTAATGCGAGCTTCCACAGCCCAGCTGCTGCGCCACCTTCTGGCCGCTCTCGGGGTAACCACGCAGAGAAGCCTCCGTGTGGTTTAATTCTATGCTCCATCGCACCCCTGCAGCCAGGCAGGAAGGGGCGGCCTTCAGCCAGAGGTGCTGCTGGGTCCCCAGGACGCACCCTGGCACGTAGCACAGGAGACTCCTCCACGGCCTGGGCCCACCTCGGCCCCCTCTCTCTGAGCTAAGGCTGTGGGGAGCGCGGAGCCCTGCGGTGAGACGGAGGCCTTTTCAAAGCTTCCTTTGGTTTCTTGCGTTCTTTGTCCCTCAGAAGCGCATTTGATACGGGATCCCTGGTGCTTTCCGGCTTGGTGCGAGCACCTGTTACTTCTGGCCAACAGCTCCCACAGCTCCGCGCTTAATCGGCGGTGGGTGTGGATTTCCCCATTCTGCTGTGGCCAACCTCAAAGCAGTGACTTTTCAGAGCTGGTCCAGACCCACCTCCCCACCTACTCCTGCCAGTCCAGGCCCCTCTGGCCAGCATTTCCTGCAGGACTGCTGTCGCACCCGGGCTCAATCTTTCCACTCCCCAGCTTTGGAAATACAAATCCTTACACCTGCGGTTCTTTCGCGGCCCCTACCCAGCCCTGCTGTCACCGCGCCTAGCTCTCCCTCGAGGACACGACCTCCTGGCAGTCTCTGGGTGCACATACTGCACATCGGGCGTGCACACCCCAGCCTGCGTCAGAACCCCTCACGGCTGTGCTGGGGCCGGTGTGTACCAGCCCTCTAGAGCCAGAGCCAGGCATCAGTCAACAACAGCCTGGCAGCCGCTGGAAACCGCCCATGGAAGCTGCATTTACACCACAGCAATTGGCGAATGCTATAACCAGGTGGAGTTGTTTTCCTTGAAGAGCTTGTTGTTAAACAATTACCAGCATGCCACAGGAACCCTGCTCTTTTTTCTTTCTTTCTTTTTTTCTTTTGAGTTTTTTTTTTTTTTTTTGGCTATAGGGTGCACGCACTCACCAGAAAGAGTGACAGAAAGTGAGAAATCACCCCAGGAGAGATGGCCATGTCTCAGTCCCTTCTCCTCCATTCTCCTCTCAGGATCTTAGGCACACACACAAAGAGGCACGAGTTTAAGCCACCAGGTCCGGGACTTGAGCCATGGTTGACTTCATGGCAGTCCAGCGACATAGCCATTATGCCAACTGCTGGTCTCAATTATTTTTTTAAGGAGGATCAGCACCATAGGCTATGATCCACCCCTGGCTCCTGCCAGCCCTGGTCCACAAATATGCATGTACCTGGTGTATTCAGGAGATGCTTGCTGCTCCCTGGGAGGTAGACGCAGATCCTAGCATGGGATGAGTCGGGCTCTGCCCATCTTCGAAGGGGGTGGGTGCTGCAGGCTGTGAGGGAGGGGCTCAGGTCTGGATTGTCCGTCCCTCCTTGGCCACCCACAGCCAGCTCAGGGGTGTGGGGACATGTGGGGACTCACGGGGCCTGGCCCTAGTCCTCAGTCCACCGTGTCGCACCCAGGTGCTCTCCTATGCCAACTCACCTCCTCTGTGACATGGGGACCACACCTCCTCGACCTCTCGTGCAGGGTGATCAGCCGCGCTAAGGCTTTTGTGGCCTGAAGGTGGATCTCTGTTGAAGACGGCCCAGGGTTCTGTTGAGGGAGCCACTGGGAGCTCCTTGCAGGTGGGGAGCTCAGTCGATTCCTCGCTATCCCGTCTGGCCTCAGCTCAGTCAGTTCCTCGCTATCCCGTCTGGCCTCATCCGGGTCTCTTTGGAGGACTCTGGAGAGCAGACATGGACAGGTGACAGCCAGCCCCTGGCCAGCAGCTGGTGACTAGACCGGAAAAGCAGTGGCCCTGCAGGCCTTTGTCTGCTGTGTGCGGAACATGCCAGGCCTCCTCCGCTTTTTCCCATAGCTCCCTGTGCAGGGGACCTTCTGCCACAAACCCCTAGGATCTCACCGCCCCCTGGGACCTGCTGGGTTACAGCGCGGAATCTCACGGCCCTGTCTCCAGACACCTCAGAGGCTGTGGGGTTTGCGGGCTCCCCACTCCAGGCTTGGTGGGAACCACTACACGTCCCGGGAGCTCAGCCACAGTGCGCGGCAGGTGCTGGCCCGCCCTCATTCTCACTGGGCGGGGAGCAGCGGCTCTCACACAGTCCCCCGCGTCCTAAGTCCTAACTGCCGTGGAGGGCTGCTAGCGCACAGCGCACGGATTTAGCAGGAAGACCTGGTGGCAGGCGCTGAAGGTTCCGGTCCCCCGGCTCCTACCCCCGACTCTGCTCTACTCTCACTGTCGCCAAGGGACGAGTTACTCAGGAAGCCACGGCCTTGTCACGGCTTTTAGAGGCCAGAAAGGCACCTGCAGAGCCAGCCGTGGTGATGCAGAACTACCCTACCAGCTGCAGGTCGGGTCCTCAGAGGAGAACTGGGTGCTAACCTGATTAGGGGCGCAAGGCTAAGACTCTCAAGGTGAGGCCCAGTTCGGAGCAGGAGGTGGCGTGGTGGTTAAGGTGCTGGCAGCCTGCTTTCTCACGTTCCCTCTTTCTCCCTGTCTCTCTGGTGAGTACACGAGCCTTATAGCAACATTGTTTAAAAGAAGTAATTCCAAAAAATAAAAAATAAAAGACCGGTCCAGACGCCTACCGTGACCTGGAGAATGAAAAAAGATCGGTCCAGACGCCTACCGTGACCTGGAGAATGACTGCAAGAAGAACGCTTCATGGCGAGGGTTCTCAGACGTGGGGTCCTTTCTGTACGAGGTCCCACAAGCGACTCGCGGACGTGCACGCTCCGTCTGAGACCATGAAGCAGGTTCCCTCCACGAGCACGGAAGCGCGCATTCCGGCGGAAGTCACCACTGCGGATGCGGAAGCTTTTTCCCCTTGGGTTTTTGCCATAGGGCGTGTGTATTCACCAGAGAGAGGGGAAGTGAGAAGTCACCCCTCAGGGGGCATGGCCACCCTTTAATCCCTTCTCCTCCATTGTTCTCTTGGGACTTGGGGCACGCACACGCATGCCTGGCGTGGTTTTCCAGCCGCTGGGTCCAGGACTCCGACCGCGGGCAGCCATGCGGGAACCCCGCGCCTTAGCCACCGCGCCACCTGCTGGCCGACGCTATTTTAATGACTCGATGGTCAGTTATTAAAAGGCGCAGACTTGCTGGCCCACCTCCAGGGTGTCTTATTGGGTTTGTCTAGAATGTAGCCTGAACGTTTTGCATATTGAACGAATTTCCAGGTGATGTTAATGCTTCTGGTCTGGGGGTCACACTTGGAAAATCAGATGGCGTAGTGGCTGCCTCACTGGACTCCCGTAGGGTGGTTGGAGTCCCAGACCCACCCTCTTAAAACCCAGCCGGCCCGTGGGCGTGCGTGCCCAAGATCCCCAGGGGAGAAAGGAAGAGAAAGGGTTGCATGTGGCCACCCCGCGGGAAATGATTCCTCGTTTTCTGTCTTGAGTCTGTCCCTGGCTGTCTGACAAACGCATGCGCCCTATAGCAAAAGTCTCTTTCAAAAAAAAGAAAAGAAAACCAATAGGGGTTTGGGGCTTGGTATGACGACCTTGGTTTTCAAAGTGAGGAAACTGAGGCTCGAGAGGTCTTACCCCGGGTCCACAAGGACGCTTAGCACTCACTGCGGGTCTGGAGAAGCCGGGAGGGCAGGGGGCCGCCGCTTCATCCGTTCGTGGGAAGCGGCCGAGCGGTCTTGTGCGGGCCGTGACTGCCACCCTGTGGCTAGTGGTGGTAGAGCCACTGAAGGTGCAGTTGCCCAGACTCCGCCTGCCCGGGGCGCCTCGCTGCAGGTTAGGAAACCAGCTTCAGGAGGTTCCCTGGCTCGGTTTCCCAGGACCATGAGACAAGAAGCGACGCGTCGCTGTGGGATTGGATTTGAACCCAGACTCCTACCTCTGGCCCCATAACGGTCTTGCCTTCGACTTCTCAGCCACCCCTCTGCTTCCTGTTCTCCACCTACACCTCCTGTAATAATCTGGAATTAGAAAGAAGTAGCCCTCCCACAGTCCAGCTCTCCGTCCTTACTCTGTCTCGCTGGCCGAGTGGCCCTGGAGCGGCTCTTTACTTCCCTCCGAGTCAGTCTCCTTCCCTGTAAAACTGAGTTAATCCCGCAGCAGCCGCACCAGCACTGGGTGCAACCGCGTGTCTCTGCCCGTGGCTCCCTCCAATCACTCACCATGGCAGCTCTTCGAAGGCCTAAAACGAAAAATATGAGACATTTTTATTTGATGCGATTATAAAACCTTTCGTTCCGTCCCGACCTGCAAGACCACAAGACCATAAATAAATATAGATATTTATTTATTTATGTTACAGATATTTAAAGAGCAACAATTCTGATTGGCCTTACGACAAACATTCAGGGAAATCTGTGATAGGAATAAAACTGTATCTTTATTTTCCTTAAGCTCGAGCTGAAATTTAACATCTTCTCTAGTTACAAATAATGCAATCAACCCAGAAGTATTAGCAGGACCTAGGACTTTGCTCCCGGGAGCTGGTACCGAGCGGCCCCGCCTCTCCGGGGGACGAGCGTGGCGTGGCTTCTCCGCTCCTCTCCCGCCCACTCTCGTTCACGTCCGCCTCCCGCGCGGTGCGGCGTGGCGACAGCAGAGGGCGCTGCAGCCTGCGCCAGGGTCCTAGGGGCGGGGTCGGGCGAGATGCCCCGCCCACCGGTGAGCTCATCACCGCGCGTCGCGGTCGCGCGGAGCCTGGCGTCACACGTGTATCCTGGCAGTCCCGAGGTGAGCTGGTCCGGGAGGCCGGCGGGAATGGTTTTCGGGGTCGCCGAGGGCCCGGGCCAGAGGGCGGGTGAGCGAGGGTGGGCACCAGGGTCGTCTCGGCAAGTTTGTTCGGGGATGCCGCAGGCCACAGGCCCGAAGGGTGCGTTTGTCCTCGCCGCCCCGGGGTAGGGGCGAGGAGAAGCCCGTAGGTGGCTTGTGTGCCGCCCCGCGTTAGAGCTGGTGTCTCTGCGGAGAAGGTCGCTTTCCTGTGGGTCTCTTAGCTCTGAAGTTCCTGGAGTAAAAGGCGGGTGATCTTGGTAGTCCACCGTCTAGTGTGGGCTGACTTTGGGGAAGCTTCCCTAACCTCTGTCAGAAAAGTGGGTAATGTGAATACCTGCTGAATAGGTTCTGAGGGTCTAGGAGCTCATCCGTGTAGTCCCTAAAACAGGGCCTGGTTCATGGTACCTCCTCGCTGCTTGGTCTCCTGAATGGGGTGTTGATAAGCCCTATGACATGCTATCACACATTTAGTTGGGGGGCCCAACCTCTGCAGAGCTGGTGACCACAGCGTGAATCACCAGCCTGGTTGGCCTGAAGACATGTGAAGCTGGCCTGGAGGAAGGGCATCCCACCATGCCCAGACCCTGGGAAGAGTGCTTTGTATTGTGAACAACAAAAACAAGGCAACACATTTAATTTTTATATCTGTGAGGTCACATATACATAAATATTTTTGTTAAAGAATTATTTTATCTAACTTTATTTATTTATTTATCTTTACTTTGACCAGAGAGTGACAGAGCGAGAGAAAGAGAGAGAAAGTGACAAAGCAAGCCGCCAGGTCTGGGATTCAAACCTTGGTTGGCCATGTGGGAATCCAGCACCTTCAACCACCATGCCATCTACCGGCCCCCCAAAAATTATTTAATTTTATTTATTGTTATCTTAAATTTAACTAGCGAGAGAAAGTGAGAAAGCAAGCCACCGGATCCTCGAACCACAGTTGACCATGTGAGAGTTCAGCACCTTAACCACCATGCCACCTGTTGGCACCTTGTTTACATGCCTATTGACTCTTACAGGTGTTTTTGGTTGAGGCCTCTGTTGGGACTGTAAGACCTTTGCTGTCTTTGGACTTGTCCATGTTTGCTTGTCAAATTTCGAATCAATATTTAAAATTGGAAGGACCTGTGGTTTTTGTCTATAAAGAATAGCAAGGGACGAGGCTGATACTCTCTGCAGTCAGACTTGGGGAGAAGAAACCGTGGGATGAGCATAGGTGTTACTTGAATCCTGGGCTCCAAAGGAGAAAGAACCACACACCTGGTAGGGCTTGTGAAGGGGCCCCAGAGACTGATCCATAGAATTATAGAACAACTCTGTAATGAAAGGTTGCCTTGTTTTCTTGGAGAAGGTGAGGAGGCCTCCTGTAGC